TATATATATATATATATATATATTCACAATTTAATCTCATCCAAAACTCTTTTTCAGAATATATAAAATCAACTGTTACCATCGAAATCGTACTTAATATACAGTACAAAGTTCTCCTAATATAATCAACGACAGTAAATAATATGAAACTACTTTAAATATGTAAATTAAAAAACTCATTTGGATCGAGAAGCTTCTTATAAAAGATATATGCACAGTCAAATTTTGGCTAGAGTATATTTTAAAGTGTCTTTCAATTTTCAATGGATATTGTGACCCTATGGTAAACCAATAATTAATAAATATGTGTACTTACAAAGTTTCATCTTATGAATAATATAATAGATAATATATTTACTATTCAAATCTTGTTACTTTTTTAGTTGTTAAGGGCTATTTTTGTTGCCCATTTTTTTCACTTTATATTTTTGTGTTCAGTAGTTTAAAAAGTCAAAATAGATCTCAATGAAATATTTACAGCTATAAAAAATAAAATACCTCTATATTTATAAATTTGATTATAATATATAAAATACCTTTATGAATTCCAAAATAAATAAAAAGGTTATACCATAGTGTGTTAACAAGGAAGGTAAGTCACTCAAACAATTTTAGTAAATAACTAGGTTGGATTGAATAGATTTGCAGTTCAATTTCCTAACATAGTATAAAGAATATTTTGTTAAAAAAAGAAAAACTCACTTTCATGATTTTTTTTTATGTTTAAAACAATTGCATGAAATGATGATGACAAAATGGTGATGAGATAAAAAATAGAAAAAAAGAGTGTGATGTTTCCAAAGCAAGAGAAAACAAAAGAATGGTGTGTCTTAAATGTGGTAAAAGATGAAGCATGAGTTTTTTGAAGTAAGAACAAATGTAGTATGTAGTGTAGAGGCAATTTGTATAACTTGCTTCCATATTCACTACACCTATGTTGAGTAGGTTTGATTCATTGCACCTCAACCTAACCCATGTGAGTTATATCCAATAAACAGTACAAAATCAATAACATTCACTACCCTACCTAGGTTCCAAGAATCTCTCGATATATGTCAACAATTTCTGATACCTACTGTTTCTGTAACCCTATATAAACCCTAAACACACAATATTCATGCTAATTATTCCAAAGAAAAATGCCAAAGTTTGAAGGTGAAGATCAAGAGATGAGAAAAGCACCAAAGGGGCAATTCGTTGTTTACGTGGGGGAACAACATACAAGATTTACCCTACCACTCTCTTACTTGAAGAACCCTATTTTTCAGCAGCTCCTCAAGAAATCTGCAGAGGAATACGGATACAGTAATTCAAGAGGCATAGTTCTTCCATGTGATGAATCAACCTTCCAAAACTTCATCAACTCCGACCTCACCATATATACTACTTAAAATCCTCTTCATCATATTCATACAGATGATCACATGATAGCAGTTCATGATACTTGTTCATCAGACATGCCTTATATAGTTATTTCTAGTTTTCACAGCTTAGGAAGCTGAAACAATTTTCATTGTAGAGAAAGAATGGTGTTATTTGTTTCTTGTTTGTTGTTTTGGAGAGTGTTAGAAGAAACATATACAAAGTGAAAAGTTGTCTTTTCATTCATACACAGCAGAATTTGTGGACTTGTGTTTTCATAATACGTGGAAAGAAGTTGTTGCATATATATATACGGCAAAACCATGAGACGTAAAAAGCTCCAGTGTGATGAACATTACCCAACAACGTGCAATATTGTGTCATATAACAAAATTCAATTAAGAAAAGTTTGGAACAAACAAGTGTTGCTGTTTTCTACACACACTGTGCTCGAGGAAATAATGTTGGTCAGAGTGTAATAAAGACTTTGTAATTCGAATAAATTAGAACTTATTTGTTATCGCAAGTGATTAAAGTTTTAAATAAATTAAAATAAAGTTTATACAAATAATTTATGTGTCATATTCAAATATACTTATAAATATATATTATAACTAAAATACAATATATATATATATATATATATATATATATATGGGTTTGTACGTAATTTATTTACTAAATTTTAGTTAAAAAAAATTTTATTCATAAAAAAATATTTACTTTAAATACAGGAATTTAAATAATTTTTATTTTTAATTTAAAATAAAAAAAATTCAGTCAAATATTTTTAATTTTAAAACATAATAACAAATAAAAGATTTAAAAAGTTATGTAAAATATTATATAATTTAGAAAAAAAAAAAAAAAAATATATATATATATATATATATATATATATATATATATATATATATATATATATATTTGTGTCCTGTGTATATCTAAAAGTCAATTACAAATAATTCAATTTGTTAGAGAATGAATTAATGCTTAAAGTTGAAAAGAGATACAAAGGAAAAGGAAAAGTAAAACATGTTATTTGTGTACGGTGTACTGTGTAAACACATTAAAAGAGAGATCTAGGAATGTGTATATAATAAATCTTCAATCCGCATTCTTTTTTTAGTTTCAAAATACAAAAAATAAAAGAAAAGTAATTTATTATTTTGAAAATAAAACTAATTTTGAGCTCTTCAAACTAGCATCCAAATATGCATTAAACAGTACGATAAAGTACGTTATAAATTAATTTTAGTATGTTCATTAGTTTCAACACACTTGAAACTTAACTATTATTGATTTAATTAATTATTATAAAGCTTTTTTTTTTCTAAGTCTTACTTAGTGTTATTGTTTAATGATATTTTATGCATGGATATACAATTGACACATCGTCAAAGTAATAGTTGACATCACATATTTATTGAAAAAAGGACAATGAGGACTAAACCTAATAAATGTTATTAAACACCAAAACCAGAAAACCTATTATAATTTAGAAATATATATTTAAATCTGAAAATGAAAACCCAAAAAGAATTTTAAAAGCTAAATCTAATTATTTAATATTTAAACCCGAAAATTAAGTAATAAATTGATTATTTAATATTGTATTTATCTTAGGAATATTATCCGTAAAAATATTATATTACCAACTTTACACATTACTTTCCTGATTTGCAATTCAAATGTTGACTCTGCCACACGTTTTAAAACAGTGCTTATTAAATGGTTTATGACATTTAAAAGATATTTTAAGCCTTTATCTCTAATAATAATAATAATAATAATAATAATAATAATAATAATAATAATAATAATAATAATAATAAGTCTTAGTGTGACTTTTAATTTCTTTGAGTGAGTGCCTAGCAATCAAACAATGGGCGCGTAGGAATTTCTCTAGATAACAACGATCATTCTCACACATAAGTATTACTTAGGTCACCGACAACAACTTTTACTTTGATCACATAGCATCTTCCTTGAAAGTTAATTGTAACATTAGTTTATGAATATATAAATATATAAAAGTTGTTTAAAATTGATTTTTTTTGAAAAATATAGCCTTCAAACATTCATAGATGAAAAAGAAATGGAATAAAAAAACATTCATGTAGAAGTGTGGTAAAATTGGAGTTTATGTCATGTAGTAGCCTCTACAGTTTTTAGTTAAGCTTTCTCCAGTGGAGTTTTTCTCCCTTCTTCACTCAGTTTCCAAATTCCATGTACACAATCGCGTCTTTTAACATTAAATATTTTTAGAGCGGGATTGTTTAAAGTTTCTTGAGTTTGTTTAATTTAGTACAGAGAAAAAGGAAAAAAATGTGATTAGGCTACTATGTTGTCCCCAACTCTACTATATTGTCCCTAACACAAAATTGCAAGAAAAGCCCCACCCATGAAAATGTCGCTAAAGTCAAATTTCTAAACATTTAAAGGCAAATATAGATTATAATCCCTTAAAAGATTATAAGATAAATTTATTTTTAACAATTTATTTATTTATTTGAATTTGATTTTATATTACTCAATTTTTAATTTTCTTAAGACCAAAGGTCTTAATTGAAAATTCCTATAATGTAACATCAGCATGCTTCAAAAAAATATTTCATTAAACGAAGTCTTAAATTTAGAAGGTTTTATATTAAAAATGTTTTTTAATTATAATATAAATCTCTAAAATTGAAGAATACAATCAATACCAATAAGTGCTGTTATAATATAAACATAACATAAACGTTGCCAATATTAAAACACTGTTGTCCATTTACTTTTATTGGATGTGTTTATATAGATTGTAATTATTAGTGTGAAATTTCAAAGTAGCTTCTGCTGCTATGCTATCACGTGTGTTCTTAGCATAACAAACTCGTGCTGCAATCAGACACGGAAGGGCTAAAGAAATTATCATTTACCAGTTAAGTAGAAAAGGAGGTCCGGTATAATGAATGGTAGCATTAAAATAATTAAAAAGTGGTGTGCTAACAAAATCATTAACAAAGATAGAAGGGAGGGCACGTGTCCTAAAATTCATACCATTCTCCCAAAAACAATTTGACATCCGATAAATTCCTCATTGATTGTTGGGAAAAAGAGCTAGAAAGAGAAATGATAAAAAAAAAACCCTATTGCAAAATTCATGCAGTCTCATCATCGTCAGTGTTTGTCTTGGTCAACTACTTAGACCTGTTTCTTATCTAAATTAGATACAGCAAGCCGTTGTCGCCGCTTCCAAGCCGGGATCTTACCAGGGAAGGCCCATCTCAATAGCCTCTCCCACGAATAGCAAACCAAAAACATTAGAAACGCCCATATCAATAGTTTATCCCTTAATCCCACTGGCAATGGCACTAACTTCAACCAGTCATTCAACTCCCTGAACAGATCAGATGTAATCACGGTAAAGAAAATAACAGCAGCCACAAGTGCATACCGGAACGGTCTGTTTTCAGAAATACTCTGGTTGAACGGATGGCCCATATAGTTCACAGCGAATGTCGCCACCTGAAGCATCATGCTCACCATATACGAAACAGTATTCACCAGGTTAGGATGAAAATCTGCATCAGGTTCAATGCATTCATCTGGCATGTATTTTTCAGCTTCTTTCACAGATGAAATCAGGAAAAGCAGGTGAATAGAAAATTGCCCCAAAAGGGAAAGGAAAACATAAGCACAGAAGATGTTGGGGTGAGGACGTTCAGCAGAAAGACTTGGAAGAGGACGTGCATGTGAGATGAAGAGGAAAAATGCAGCAGTGAATACTCCACTTATTGTAGCTTGTACGTCACCTAGCTTCACACCATCCAGATACATAACACTCAACACATATGCAGTAGCAAGACAATTGAGACCCAGAATTTTGAACATCTGGAGGGTAGTAACTAGAGTACTCCGACCTTGGCGAATTATGTCAGTGGTAGGAGCAACAGATGCATGCTTAGCAGTGAATGGAGATGCCATTGAGGCATCACCAAGCTTCACAATGGGTGCACGACCATCTCCTTCCTCATTAAGCTCGTCAATCATCTTCTTAAGCTTCTGTCGTTGCATCTCAACAGCTGCTTGATGACGGTTACCAGAAGAGTGGCTACTGGAATCTGATTTTGAAGCAACTTTGCCTTTGGAAGTGCCTTCACCGGCACTCTTTCCAGATGTGTCCAGTGCAGACTTAGATTTCTTTTGCTTAGCAGATTTTGAACCTTCTTCTTTAGACGAATCCGAAGAGGAGTTTCCACTTTGAGTTGGAGGAATTGCATTTAGAAGAGCGATTCCTACATGGGCCTAAACCAGAAAAGTTAGCTTGAGAGTTGCATACTTTATTATTTCTTTGGTAACTTCAATATAATGCCAATTTATGATTAGCAGCATCACATTAATATCAGTGATAACAGAATACCATATAATAAATGTTTATAACTTTTTATTTACAATAATTCAAAAACTCATTGGAGACTGAAGTAACGTGGCTACGTATTCAAAAACAGTTTCCAATAGATTATCCTATATAATCCAAGAGGTCCAAATTGAGAATCAAGCTAGTTCAACCCATAATCATGGATGAGTCGGATTGCCAAAATTAAGAAAAAAAATCAGTTCACATACTTGAGATTAAAACAGAAAAATATATTTCTAGAGGGCGTGAAGAACCCCTCTCATAGTTCGGTATTTATATATTAGAAGCTTGATACAATAGAAAGACTACACATCAAAAGCATTGTCCTAAGCTACTTGGACAAAGAATTAGTTAATCTAACACTTAACCTCCTACCTTAGACTTAATGATTACATGGATTTTCTAATTATTTCAACACACAAACCCCAGATTATTTTTTATGGAGTTGAAGATAGACAAGGCATATTCACAGTGAATCGGGCTAGCTCACAGATTTCTACATATTTAATCTAGAAATTACATTTTTCATGAGTTGAAACATTACTCAGCCCAGTTAAGTTGGTTCAATGGGTGGCAGCCAAACAACGACGGCCTAGTGGCCTACTTTGACAACTCTCCTTGAATGAAATTTTTTGTGGATACGGAGGTTGTAATATGTAAGCAGACTAAACTGATTACAGACAAAAGTAATATTCAGAAAAACAAAAAATAAAGTTATAAATATAACCTGTACACATTACCTGCTTCAAAGCCCCAACATCATTGGTTCCATCCCCACACATCAAAGTTAACCGTCCAACTGTTTTGAAAGTGGTCATGATAAGTTCTTTTTGTTCGGGAGCAACCCTGGCAAAAACCTGAGACAAAAAGAATTGTCATTGATGAAGCCAGTATCAGAAACTCTGTTCTAATGTTTAGCTACTTGGCATTGATCAGAACCTTCACATGAGGAATGACCACCAGATGAGCTGATGTCTGTTGTAACATCTCAATACAATCACCACCAATACAGAGATCATGGGTCTCTGATAAAGATTCAACCTCTTTCTCACTGAAACCAATTATACATATTATCAGTCTAAATTGTTTTAAAAATGACAAGAAAACCACAATGACTGTAAAAGAGTGTGTTTTGGAAGAATTGGCAGCAAAACTCCAGCTTAAAAATTTTGCAGAACAAGTTTACCAGAGATCGTAATAAATCTAAGGCCAAGGGATCTTACATTCAACAACTACCTGTCCAAAACTAGAAAAGAACATAACTATGCATAGGAGGGTGCAGCCAGAAAAGAAAAATAATTACCTGTAGCGAATGTTTTCAGTCTCATCAGGCGACATCCAATTATATCCCTCACCATTTCGTGCTGGTCCAAGGATTAATGTGGGCTTTGATATAATATGAACTTGGCTAGCAACATGACAAGCTGTCAAAGCTTGGTCACCGGTAATCATCACCTATAAATTAAATTGAAGATGCTAGTCAGTTTCTTCTTGCTCTTACGCTACAAGCTTTGTTACTGATGAAAATCTACCTATTGGTTACAATACATGCCCTATAGAACCTCACATAATGGACATTTTCACTAAAGGAACCTCGATAAGGGCAAATTCTAGGATCTTATATGTAAGTTGGAAATGATTGATATTCACTTACCAACTTATGGGGGGTGTTGTAAATAATAGATTATAAGAATAAAAATATTATCAATATCTCCATAGTAATTAAGAAAAAATATCTTAAGAATCTTCCATGTCATTTCAGCATAACATTTCCCTATTTTAAAGGATTTATCATTACAAATAGAGATGAAGAGAATATAACTAATATGATTGTTATCAATAAAATAATATTTTTTCCTTAAATAGTTCAGTAAAACAACCAAATGATAACAAACAAATCTCATGTAATTGTTTCCCCAAAATTTATTCCCATAGTACACATTCCGCATCTTTTGACAACTTCTAGCAGAATTTGCTGTCAACTGAATCACATTGTAGCCCTTCATCCGTTATCCCTTGTCCCTAATGTGTTGCGCCAAATGTTTCTTGAGCTGAGAGAGGGTTATTATTATAAGACCCATTGTTTGAGTTCAAAACAAAGATTCAATTCAAGCCCATGGGAGATTACCAACTTCAAGAACCAGCTCTGCATCTCCGGTGCCTTTGATAGCAATGTCTACTGTACGGTTTCACTGTTTGGTGATTACAATATGATGGACTGACAGGCTCTTCCTCCAAAAAAAAAAACAGAAAACTCCCCTGGGTCCAAGGATTCTAATGATCTCACTATTTTGAGATCATTCAGCAATTCATCGTGGTTTTCTTGATGTAATTGATAGAGTATCCCCCCTTTTGTTTCTCCCTCTGCAACCACCAAATGTGGCTGACTGCACCTTTCTGTCCAAGAATGAACCTTGGTATTATTGCAGAGCATTCTGACCTACTCCCTTGCGAATACCCATCCAGCGTATACCCTTGAGCAGGAAAGGTTGCACTATAAAGGGAGGTTGGTGCTGTCGGCCAACTCCACATGGATTCCCATGTTGCTATCAAAGTTCCAACCACATTGGTATAATACCATCTATCAAAGATTTATGGGCGGCCACCTCCCTCCTTGCAAAGATTTATACCGGGAGAGTCACTGGTGGAAGCGGTGAGCCAAGAGTTGTAGACCCGAGATGAGGCTTCAAGACAGATGAAGTTCCATTTAAAGAGGGCACAAGGGTTAATGGCAAAACAAGCCAACAAGGGAAGGAGGCCTGCGAATGTTGAAGTAGGTGATTGGGTCTACTTGAAGATAAGACCCCATCTTTAATCTTCCATGCCAACCAGACTTCACCCAAAGTTAGCAGCCAGGTATTTTGGACCGTTTCAGGTGATTCAGCGAGTGGGAGAGGTAGCCTATAAGCTTCAATTACCCGAGACAGCACGCATACATCCTGTTTTTCATGTATCACAATTAAAGAAGGCAATAGGAGAACAGAGAGTGGAGAAGGAGTTGCCTCCAGATTTGCAGGTCGATGGACCCTAATTTTGGCCGGTTAGGGTTCTGGCGAGGAGATTAACGCAAAACGGGGAAGAGGAAGTGCCACAATTGTTGATAGAATGGCAGGAGGGAGGACAAGATGGGACGACGTGGGAAGAAGTTGCTATCAAGGAACAATACCCCAATTTCAACCTTGGGGACAAGGTTGAGCTTCAGGCAGAGGGCAATGATAGGAATGAGAAGAGATGGAGAGTTTTTGAGAGAAGGAAGAGAAATACATAGTTAAACTACCTAACTGTTTATTACAGTTAGGAACCTAACTGCTTATTACAGTTAGGAACCTAACTGCTTATTACAGTTAGGAACCTAACTGCTTATTACAGTTAGGAAGGGCGGAAATGACGGTTGTATAAATAGTTGGGTGCTTAGTAGGAAAGGGACTTTTGGTAGTTGAATTGTTAACAGGCTTTGTCCTGTGAAAGGGGTTAAGCCCTTGTTACTGTAAGTGTACAGAGAATTCTTTTGTGAATAATACTCAATTTTGTTCCCATTCTTGTCTTCTTACTGTTCTGAGATGTTATTTAGAGGGTTCTTGATTAGGTTTCTTAATCAGAAACCTATCAGAGTGTGTATCAATCTCCACTTTTCTTGCTTTTGCATCCACCTTTCCAATATTTTGATCTCTTGTATTCCCTCAATCTTCTTCATGTGAGAGGGATGTGTCTCCCCACCCTTTCCCCATCTTTAACCTTCTTCCCCTCACGAATGATTTCTCTTGACTCTATAAGAAAGTGCTGTTAGTGCTTCCAAGAATGTTGTACTGCCCCTGAATTGGCTGCCTCCCTCACAAAGCCACTTTTTTTCATATTCTTGCCCTTGAACACTGATTTTTTCTCACCATCTGAAAACTCATTTCCTTTCTTGAATTCCAGAAGTTATTCTTTGATTTGCCTCATGTCTACCAAACACTGCCTTATGAAAACCATTCTTGTTTTTAAACCTGACTTAAAGAGTTTAGAATAGCTAAAACTGTTTTTATTTCACTTAAAACTTCTGATACAACATACTACTGTATTTATAGGATACAGTATTTCAGAATACCAAAGGTCAGGAAACCCCTAAAAAACCTGTAAGCATATTCCCATGACACTGGCCAATTTCTCCAAAGCACTCACCCTACTCTCCATCATGCACCTTGAAAACAACAGATCTGACTGATTTCTAGGAACCAAGAATTGAAAGAGAAAGAAAAGAAAGATTTTTGTGATATAAAATGAAAAAAACAGGAAATAGGAGAGCTAACATTCTCTCTCAAAGGATTTCAGCTTCACACGGGATTTCTCCTTTCACAAGAGCTAATGCTCAATCTACAAAATTGAACATCCCCCTCTTTCTCCTTACGTCGTCATATTTATTTAACTCATTAACACCCTACGTCATCATATTTATTTAACTCATTAACACCCTAACTAACTAATCAATATCCTAACTGTATCAACTAATTCCCCTTTCCCACGGTCCAAACACCAACTAGGAAATTTCTGAATATAACCAAAGTCTGAAAACAGAGTCTTAAAAAAATTATACGAGCACATAAAACACAGCACTCAAAGCAAATAACAAACCAGCAAGCTCTTGACCATTGCCTCAACTGATAGCAGATATAGGTAAAATCAGAAACAGAAAGCAGGGAAAAAACCAATAACATACACCTTTTCTTACTCAAAGACCACCCGCAAGCCATAACCAAGTAGCAAACACAGGTTGCAGGTCAGAACCCACTATCAAAGCTTAAATAGTGCTAACAGATAGTTACGGAAGAGTTCAATGAATGACAGTAGAGTTTGTTGGACTTGAGGTGTAAAGATTTCATGTGAAGGTTTTGTATATCAGAAATGAGAGACAGCATGATGGGGTCATCCAAGATAATCTTAGAAATCTTGTTTGAGTGTTCTCTACTAATAGCAGCAAGCAAAAGTTGCTGAATCATACAATCCTACTGTCTAACACATGATTAGAACTATCTTGACCCCAACCTTCGAACTACTGATCTTATACCTAAACTTATGATTTTTATCCATCCTAAATGCCCATGCTTAGGACTACTAACTTTTGACATTTACTTTTCTTCAAGCCCTGTTCCCACTATGTTGACCACATTGATTCTACAATCCCATTATGCTCAATTCCAAAGTGCTTGAACATATGTATGCGTATCATGATATATATATTAAAATTTAAAACATCAAGAAACAAAATAGCAAATTTTCAACAAAATTTTTAAAATTTACTCTCGGACATGTTAGCTAAACTTCAGCTACTAAAGTAACAAAAAGAGGCTATATCCAGCTCATTTCCCCATAAAGGCTGGAGTTTTTACATCCAAGAAAGTAATTATTTTTCTTGAAAGAGAAGCTAATTTGAATACCAAACTTACCAAGTCATGTGAAGATTCTTTTAATTCAGATAAAACAGTGGCTGAATCTGATCTTATGGGACAATTAAATACCTGAAAACAGCAACACAATTGACTTTTAGCATCAATGAAAAGGAAGAATGTCTACAATTAACTCCAAGGTATGAGAATGTTAACTGATTACCACAAAACCCGCAAATGTTAATCCACTCTCCACAGTATCCCTATCCATGCTTCTAGCTTCACTGACCTTCAAGCATAAAAATAATAAGCAACAATAGACAAGCAAGTGTTGAAAGTAATTCATGAAGCAACAAAATGGTAAAGAAGGGAACCAAGCATTCTTCCACAGAGAACATGGGAAAGTGCAGTCCTCTGACTTAGTTATACTTAACTTTCAAATCAACATTGTGTTAGGCCTTGGAGGGTTTATGAGAGGAGAAGGGTGAGGAATAATACCTAACTGTTATCTAACAGAATAACAGTTAAGAGGGCGGGAACAGGGTCTATATAAGGACCCTGTATTTGTTTCTGAAAGTTAGTTAGTGACTTGTATGTAGTTGACCGGTCTTAGAACCAAGTGAAGGAGGTTAAGCTCCTGGGTACATTGTATTCTTGATTTGTTGGTGTGAATGCAATTCCATTCTTTCTCATTCTATTTTGTTCCGTGTTGGTGTAAGTGAGTGAGAGTTAGAGAGCTTGTTAGGGATTTCATCTTGAATACCTAACAAAGTGGTCCGACCTGTCGGATCAGATCGGAGGAAAGCGCGAGTGATGGAGGGAAGAATGGTCAAGGTTGAGGGGAAGATGGAGCACCTGGAGTTGGCGGTCGACGGTTTGAAGGCAGAGACGGCAGCGAATCGCCAAGAATCAATCGCGATGCGCAAAGACATTCAAGAATTGTTACGG